CCCCAATAAAGTTAATCAGATTGCTTGCTCTAGATGCCACACATTTGAATAATATTACGATTTATTACTCTATTTATTGTTGTCGTTGAATAAATAGTGAATTTTAATATTAGATGGAACTCATTGATCACCAAAAGACAACAATAGATTAAGAAAATAAACTAGGTCGGAATAGTATTATTGAGCACATGTTGGTAGCAGATTTGGATGGTTATATTTAGAATAGGGAATGATTATCGGTTTAAATGGAATTCGGGGGTGATTTTTTATATGAAGATAGGGTTTCTTTCTTTAATAGTAGTTCTTTCTCCCCTTCATCTGATTCTGGCGATTGAGTTTTGTTATAACCAAACTTGTTTAGCTCCTTCAAATTCAACCATTAATGGTTCCAAAATACTTAGGCATGCCCCGTGTAATTGGCTTCTCAAGCACGTATGATGATTTCTTAATTTCCACCAATCAAATTGTGCAAATCCGGGAAAATACGGATCCAAATTCCTTCTAATACTTTTATAAATAATATGTCACTCATCATAAATTCAAGTAAGACTTATTAGTTTATATAAGCGAGCCCTCAATCAGTATAAGATATAAGATTTATCTTGAGAAAACGTACCAAAATGAATAAAAAACCCTAATTTACAAACTAGATGTAAAAAGTTTCATAAAATCCAGATGGTTCCTATCATATAGCTGGATAACAGTCCATCTTAAGTGGGTAGCCAGCCTCATCTTGTTAACTTTGTCAGCTACATCAAGCATAAATGCTGCCTTATTAGCTACTTTAAGTACAATTTCATACTAGTATAGAGCTGACAAAGTATCATCACCGAGCTTCTAATTAACCCAGTCAAAAGAAAAAAACTGATCTCTCCCCCTTTTGTTCCTCTCTTTAGTAACTCGGTTTACACTCTCTCTCTCTCTCTCTCACACACACACACACACACACACAACCCTAACGTGTAAGGCTTGAGATGAACTCTTCATCTTACTTTGGGGTTGTCTATATATGTATTTTGTGTGTGTGTGTGTGTGTTGGCATATTGAGACAATGATGAAAAGGAGAGATTATAATAAGGGAAGAAAGAAAAGGTTGAAATTCTTAAGCAAGCATGACATAAGGAATAAAGTGGTGGTTAGGGAGGTGAGATTTAGATGGTTGTTGTCTGCTTAGCACACATAATTTAAACAAAAGTTTTAATACAAATACCGAGGAGTATGTAGTTTCCCCATGCAATCATAATCATATTATTACATATCTTTTCTGACCAAAAAGGCTTGCTTGGCTGTTATTGGACAATTGGCCAAGGAACTTTCTTAATCCATAATATTATTTGGATTTAATTATCTGACTTAATTTGTTGATCAAATTTCCATATATAAAAATTATAGAATTCAAAAGACTTGATAATTAATGTTTCCCCATAACATAAATTTTTTCCTCGCCATAGTTTATATGAGCCCCTTCTTGTTAAGACGACAATTATAGTCTGTTAGATGGTATAGGGAGTAATGAATCAGGTATACCCTTAATGTTTGATATGGTTTACACAAATAAATGTCCACAAATTTAAACTCACTAGTGATGGATTGACTTGGGGGAGGAAAATTTTAATTTGAAATAGTTTTGAGAGGGATATTGGTGACTGTTGAATGAATCCATTTGAGACTGTCAGATGAGTTTATTGAAATTAACTCTGTTTTATATTATAAATATAGATAACGTCACAATTATAACCTTGTATTTTACCACATTATACACTAACATTTTGTTGTGAGAAATGGACTTATGGTTGCATGGTATGAGTATATCTCAAGGGTTATAGTAACAATTTGTGGGCAAACATGGAGTACAATCATAAGTTGTTTAGTTGTAAACTGTTTAACGGTGAAAACCAAGCAATGAGTAGTTTTTGTTAGAGAGAGAGAAGGGGAGACACTTTTTTTTTTTTAACAGACAATAGAACCAATCCAATACAATCACTTAAGGACACTTCACGTGGAAAGATTCAATCAATAGGGTGGGTAATATATTTGGTAAGCCAAACACGCCATGAGGCCCAACACTACCACCCCCCATTTATTATAGTGTAACTGGTGTGATCTGCTTCATGGGCGTCTTCAACACTCTATCATGGAATCCTATGCATGGTCCTATTCATGAGAGAGAGAGAGAGAGAGAGAGAGAGAGAGAGAGAGAGAGAGAGAGAGAGAGAGTGTTCCCACACGCACTTTATGGTTAGGGAAATTACACAACAGCATGAGAAAAACTGAAGGATTAAAATTTTTATTTTGGTCACATAAAAAATAAAAATATTTTGAAAACACAAAAACACAAATAAAAATTTTGAGAGTTTATATTCAAAATATCCTAAAACATTAATTGAAATATACCGAAACATTTTCAAATACAAAAAAAAAAAAAGACCAAAACTTATGGTGGAAATATGTAAAACATCAAAAAATACATCAAAATATTCTGAAACAACTTGGAACATTAGAATTTTGATTTTTTCATCATTGATTCGTTTTTATTTTCTTAAAATTAAAAATGTTTCGACTGTTTTAATTATTTCAAAATAAAATTTTAATCCTGAAAAAATCAAAGGAGTACCTATTTCACCCGAGTGATTTTGTTTGAATTTCAAGAATAGGTTAAAAATTTTAATTTAAAAGAACCAAAGTATTTATATATATATATATATATAATAGCTAGTCTTTAGAAATTTTTAAAAAAACCCAAGAGGGTTGAGATCATATAATATGATAATACATATTAGTTCGTATTTAATTTAATATAGATAATTTAACATTAAAATAAATAAAAAAAATTTAAATTAGGAATATGTGAGCCGGTGTTTTAGAGAAATTTATTCCATTGTAATGGATAATTAATTTCTCTCTATTTTTGGTATTATCATAATAATATCAATGCCTCGACTACTATATTAAAAAACATAAACTTTCAATATCTTTAACCTTATTTGTCCTAAGAATAATCGATATATACAATGGAAATTAATACAAAAAAGCAAAAATATTCAACTACCATGTGTAAATATCACTAAATGTAGGCTTCTGTAGAGAGCGATCTCACGCCTGTCCTGAGAGCGTGTGGCGGTGCTTGGCATGTAGTTGTCACTTTCTGCTGCTAACGTAAGATATAAGTTCCACATGGCAATCCACAAAAAGTTAAAGCACCCGCACTGCCCCCACCTCTCAAATCCAGATCTCATAATAAAAAGGGTGCTACTTATCCTCAATCTGGTCAAGAATCCCAATTCCAAACACGGGTCCAATGAAGGGTATTCTAGTCATTTCACAAAATAGCAAATGATAAACGTTCCATAATTTCACCAATTTTTTGTGATCCATTTACAATTCCAATTTCTATCAATTTCAGTCAAATATAATCATATTATTTTTTTTCTAAATTTCTTGTTTTTCATTAGGTGTTAGTGGAAATTTGAATTCTAGAAAAATTAATAAAAGGGTTTGAGAAGATCTAAATTCATTGTTTATATAGCCACTAACAACAATTATGTGCGTGAAAATATTATGTAATATCAAAAATTAAATATTGATGGTGTAATATTTATATTTTAAATATTAATTTATTATTATTTTCAATTACCTAATTTAAAATTAAAGTGAATAAATAAAAATAATATAGAGAAAGAGAGATAGGGGTAACAACAAGAGATATGAGTGGATTAAAGGAGTTGTCAGATATTGGGGATCGTGTTGAAAAAATAATATTATTGAGGGGAAATTTTTTTTTTGAGATAAATTTTATACCATTAGATCAAAATAGATAAAGAATTTGAGTGAAAAACTTGACCGTTGTTGTTTTTTGCTAAATTAAGAATTTAATTTTGTAGCTGTAATATTAGATACTAGTTATTTTTTCAACTTCTATCTAAATCTAATGAATAAGTTGTCTAATTCGCATTGAACTACAAATTAATTTTCAAAAAATAGAAAAAAAAACCCAATTGAATTAATATTGTCGTCAATGCGTGGACAATTAATTTAAATTCTCTACTGCTGTGACTTTTCGGATGGTACAGAAATATTCTTATGTTGTAATTAAATCAAATCAACAAAATCAAAATGTTATCACTTTAAAAAAAATTGATTTGATAAACCCATTTCTCGAACCAAACTTGTAATTTGGATGATGAATTTTATAAACTAAGACATCTACGACCTTAAATGGTATAAAAATGATAAGTAAACATGGTAAGGACACTTTCATGACAAAAGATGGAAAAACACATTAATAAATATAAACTATATAGGTATGTTATCAACTAATTTAAAGTTTTATTATTTATGGCCTAGCTGTATGACAAGCTTTCAAATATGTATTTTTGGAATTAATCACGATTTCCCTCTTTACTTTCTCTTAATTTGTTCTTATAGATCATTTTCTATGAATTCAAAAGTAATCCATTACATATATATAAAATTTAATATTGAATAAATGATTTTCATTAAGAAACTTTGGGAAAAAAATTATATTGAAGGAGTTAATGCATTTTTATGAGCTATTAGACTGTTTTGTTTGCTATAATGTCTAGATTTACATTGACTATTTTTTTGAGTTATGAGTTGATCATCGTAGTTCAAGTTAATTTAAAAATATATCTTTTAAAAAATAAAAATGACTAATCTCTAAGAAGTGTAAAAAATATCAAATCTAAAAAACAATGAGACACATGTTTGACAGCACCCTAAGAGTTGAGCTATGAGACTTTATGAAATAGACATGGAGGAAAATAAGGAGAGTATCAAAGAATAAAGAATACCAACTACCTTTTACTATCTCAATTACCTTCCAACGCACGCCTTCCCCCCAACTCTTTTTCTACACATATATAACCCCAAACCTACAACACCCATCTCCCTCCATTTCTTGTCCACTACTGCCTCTTCACCTCTCCGTCAAGGCTTCAACCTTCTCTCTCTCTCTCCTCCCAAAAAAAAACCCAAAAACCATGTCCACAGATCTAGAATTCCAGGGAAGCTTGACAAAAATTCGATTACCGGCCACCAAGATAACTTCTTCACAGTCTTCAGATATCACTGACGACAACTCCGGCTTAATTCCGGTACGAAATGACAGCATTGGGGATGAGGAAGAATGCCAAACACCGAAATCACCTCGGCATATGATTCCCAAGATCCTCAGTTGCCCACCGGCGCCGATGAAGCCGAGGCCGGTGGCTTCATGTAAGAGGAAGCCCTGCGAGACGCTGCAGTTTTTCGAGATCGTTGCCAGTGAAGAAGTTGAGTCGTTTTTCAGGTCTAGTTTTGGGTTGATTAATGACATCAATTCTTGTGGTTCAATGAAGAAAAGGTGTGTCGTGTAACTGAAGGGCGTCTTAGATTAATTCTTCAGAGTTTTATGATTATATATATATTGTAAGGCTCTTACACGAAATTATTGTATGTATTACACGTTCATATGCCAATTGTTTGATATTAGATCAGGTTAATATATGCACCTGAAAATTCAGAGAATTGATCTGAATATCATAGGTTCGAAAGAGTCATCCATTTTTTTTTTTTTTTTGAGTAATGAAAGCTATCTGATTTGGTGGATTCATTCAAATTTTCAATAATGGGTGTGATCGTTTTCTGGGTTTTTTTTGATGGGTCTAGAGAGAGGCATAAGGCATTGGTTGGATGAGGAAGTTTAAGGCATTGAGTTATGGAAGATGAGAGAGAGAGAGAGAGAGAGAGAGAGATTGCATCATTTCCTGATTTTTTTTTTGAAGTCTGGGTCAAATATGTTCACAAGAATCATCCAATTTGTGGTATAATGAGAGATCTCTAACAAATTTTGGACTGATCATGTTTATTTTCTGTTTGTTTTTGAAAATTTCATGGTTTTATTTTCTTCGGGTTTAGAGAGACATGGATTATATGACACGATTAAAAAGTATTGAACTTTTGGAGATGAAAGAGCCGCAAATTAGATCTCATATAAATCCTGGTTTTTTTAATAATTAGTTGAGGGAGTAACATAACTTAGATGATGAACTTTCATGTATGTGTTACACTGTCAAATCTTTGTGTGTGTGTGTGTGTGAGAGAGAGAGAGAGAGAGAGAGAGAGAGAGGTGTGGTTGGTTTATTACTTTTTTTTGATGGAAGATGGTTCGAGCTATTTGGGTATAAAATTTTCAAGTGGGTAGGATGGCTGATCTGTATTACGTTTGACATTAATAATGTTGAGTGATTGACACGGCTTTGGGATTGATAAACATAATTTTCTTGCCAACAGTTTACATATAGTTTGCATTTATTAATCAAAGTCAGGCATTGTGCTGTGGTCATACGGTGCCCAGATTTCTGCGTTCAATAATCCCGAGACATATTAAAACGTATGATCTAAAAGAAGAGCCCAATTTGAGTAAGAAATCAAACTCCGTCGCCAAGTTCACGCCAAACTCAAGCCTATAATACTCGATTTGAATTTGAGTCTAATTATACCCTAATTCGAAGGGCCCATGCAGGTAGGTTAAACCCACAAATTTTTTTCTAAGTATGTAGAAGAGTCAAAATCCACGTAGATATATGATAATTAACATGATAGTAAAGTTGTATAAAATGTAGAGTCGAAATTTTAATTCCAATCATATTATTTTGGGTCAGTCAATGATATCTTTCTCGAAGTGTGGCCATCAATAAAAGAACGAAGACGAACTCACTCGGGTAGAAAATACTAGCCAAGATAAAATTTCACATTTGAGAAGCGGGGTCTGGAGAGATTAGCTTAAAATCAAGATGGCACATTTCCTCTGCCATGGCTCATTTGTTGGACATCCAAATGTACCAATTTTGTATGTAGAAACAGTCAACATAAGAGAAAAATTGTTTTAGGTTATAGAAGAAAATGTCAAATTAGCCTTATTAGGTCATATTGATTCTGATGAATTTGCCGTTTCAACCAACTGATTGGAATGACAAAGTGATGTGCTTTGTAGAATGACTGATAGATAATTGAAGCTATAAGCTTCCACTCTAACCTAACCTGTCCCATCTAGTTGACTGATTACTTTCGACCATATGCATTTGAATAAAATAAGATTAAACGTACTTCACGAGATTTCATACATGCATTATCAAGGAATATCACAAGAGGAGAAGCCTTTAGTGTAGAATGAACTTCAATCCCTTAGCTACTTTTTCGAATCTTGATATAAATATTTTTTACAGAATAAAGAGCATTGTCTGTATGTGTGTGTGTCTGTGAGTGAGAGAGAGAGAGAGAGAGAGAGAGAGAGAGAGAGAGTCGTAAAGATGATGGGTTACAATCTTGATTAATTCTTATAGTATATAGTATAGATATGCATGCACAATATAGTTTTTTTTGTGATATTCATATCCAGAGAGACAAAGAGAGATAAATTTAAGTACTTAGTCCATGATGACCTTCTAAATTTCTTATAAGTCCTGGACCAATCTACATGGTTTGGAGATCCAAGATATTCAAAAAATAAAAAATAAAAAATAAAAAATAAAAAATAAAAAAATCCTGATCCATCATTGTATATTCAAAAAAAAAAAAACTCAAGCTTACTAACTTCTTATGCTCTACCCACTTGTATTGACCTGATTTGATACAACAAAAGCATTTCGCTCGTATTATAAAAAGAAGCATAAAATATGAGAGGTTAAGAAATAAAAATGATAACATCCAGAATTGAAGCTGTTAGACCATTGCTAATAAAGTTAACTCAAATTTAGCATCCAAAACAAATGAGTGTACTATCTAATATTTATCTACGTACCGTCTAGTTTACGTTTTGTTTTATTTTCTCTTTATTGCCACGAAAGGAAAAGAGAATGCATGCACAAAACTAAGGAGTGGAAAAGAGAAAACCAAGAGAAAAGAAAATCACAGAAAAGTGATAGAAAAAAGGGTCTCAAAACCCTACATTTTGTACTTAAATGGATCCCTTTTGTCTATGTGAGGCAAGACAGTTTTGTTATCCCATGAAAGTGTGTTCTTACATTACATGAGAATGTTAGAAACTTGCAAGTAAGAAATGGGAATCCCATTTCCCAAAATACGAAGGTGGGGGGGGGGGGGGGGGACTTTGTTCTTGATGATATTCTCTTCTATTAAAGAATTGGTGAGAGAATTTAATGGGATTGGTGACAGTGAACTTGGGAATTACATTATGAGAGTTCGTAATTTTGTTTGTGTTATGATTTTTTTTTTATGGGTAAGTTGTTTTGAATTATAGTATGCTTCAATCTTGTCTTTGTTTAATGATAATGAACTTTTGCAATAGACATGTTAATAGATCGAATTTTGATCAGATTTTGACTAATTTAAATTCAATTTTAAATCTCAAATATGAGAACAATTCAATTCTGTATAACTCAATTAGTCAATTTTTTGTAAACACATCAAAATTTGAACTCAATTTCGTAAAACAATTGTTTAATCTCATTAGATGCTTATATACATAAATAATTCGGATTGAGTCATAATCAAATTGAACATTAGTATATCTCAATTCAAATTTATGAAACATCATATACTGGATTCAAATTCAACTTATTGTAAAATGTAACGATTCATTATTTGTACATGTTTGCCACAATGCATCATGGGTTACTTTTTTTTTTGAGTGTGTGTGCATGTGGATTCCATCTATTCTATGAGAATTCCCATAAAACAAATAACCATGTTAAATAATAATAAAAAAAAATAGCTAAGGCACAAAAGGAAATGTTGAATAGAAAGTTTTGCTCACATTGTAATTGAAATGATTCACATGCTTTCTATACTGGTAACATTGTTATGAATGGATATAGTATATGATCTTTTTAATCAGCATCTCTCATTAAGAACCAAGATTGTTACTCAATGTACATAGTTATGGACTTTAAGGTGTCAAGCAATTAGCCAGTGAATCGGTAAAAATAGCCGTGCTAATATATGTGAGATAATGAGCTTAAATATGAGAAAAACCACTTCATATAGATAATGTCAAAGATTATGGATGTATCTGATTCATCAAACAAATCGAAAAAAACCTTTTGTAGATCGTTATAAACTTCAACAATTTTGTACATTGAAGAAAAAGGATTCTTCTATTCAAAGACATCAAAACTTAAAATGTGTACAAGCTAGCATGGATTGCTACTCTACAGACGATGACTAACTCCCTAAGACCTCATCATCATTCTAGACTCGAACTTGGCGGAGTAAATGGGCTTTTTCTGATGGGCCCATCATATTAGCGAAATTTGGACTTTTGACTATGAAATGATCTAAATATCTAATATTAACACAAGAAGAAAGAAATTTAGAATACTTAGGAATGCAAGCTTTAACAAATAATTTAGGTATTTTCATATATAGGTTAGACAATAATCATCTAAGTTCATGACGTGAAAGATATGACAGTGGTATCAAAAAAACAAGGAAAATTTGGAAGCGGGTACAAAATTTGGACTTAATTGACTAAACGACATTAACAAAACTTATGCGACTCTAAGTTCTTTTTTTTTAAAAAAAGACTAAAAGATCATTCATTACTCTCTCTCTCTCTCCCCCCTATTGATAATTTATTTTATTTCAAATATGTAAAAATTTCATTTGATTTTTTCATCTCTCTCTCCCTCTCCCTATTTTTCTCTCGTTATATTCTCTCCATCTCTCTCTTTATATCAACATTACAAGTAATTAGTTACAATTTTTCTATAATATATCAAACAATTACATGAAATTACAACACAAACCCAATTTCTCATCCTTGTTTACATAGACCAAAGAGTTACACTATTTAGTATCACAACAAGGTTACACTAATTACATACACCAAATTGAGTTTATCATTACACAAAGGAGTTTACCATTACACCAAATTTGGTGTATATAATTGGTGTAACCATATCGTGATACTAAATCGTGTAACTCTTTGCTTTATATAAACAACTGAATGACAAATTGTGTTGGTATCGTAGTTTTGAGTAATTATTTGGTGAAACTGATTGGTTTATTAAAACACATAAATAACTGTTTGATGTATTATAGTGCAATTGTAATTGATTGATATAACTGATTAATATAATTTTGTTGTTGTAAAATTTGATATAAAGAGAAAGAGAATAAGGAGAGAACGATGAGAGAAAATAGGGGAAAGAATGAGAGAGAGAAAATAGGGGGAGAGATAGATGAAAAAATCAAATTAAATCTTTACAAAATAAAAATAAATTATCAATGGAGGAGAGAGATTAAGGGGGAGATAGAGAGAGAGTAACGGTGTGAAAAATAAAGGGGAGAGAGAGTGTGTGAAAGAATAAAAATTATATATAATTTAAGGAAGGATAAGTAAAATAAATAAAATGTCATTTGAATTTTGTACCTAATTACAAGATGTTTTCTTAAAATTGAACTTAATAAAGTAAACAACTTATGCATATACTTTCTTTCAAATAAGTTTAAAAAAATATATCCATTCCCAAAAAATCCA